TTTCCATCTCGCACCACACTTGCCTTGAGGTACTTGATTGAGGCCACTTCTTTGCTCAGCTGCGAGCCAATCTTCATAGATCAGCGGTGGGATTGGGAAGTCGTTTTCGCTACCCTGTTCATGCATTCTGGGCATTTTTTGATGTGAGCTTAAGCGCCCACAGCGGCCAGGATGAACAGCCCGTAGATTTTATAGCAAACTTGCCTGCCATCCCAAGGCCTGAAACATTTGACCCATTGGTGCTTGTGTGCCACGGACGCCCGGTGCTCAGCTGATGGCTTTTGTTACATTGGTGATGGCTCCCATCATTAGTATGCCCCCTCTCTTTTTTGCTATGTGGTATCCCCGCAGCAAGGACGCCGAAGCAAGCTTGCTTCAAGGTGGTGTGCTTCAGATTGTCCTGCTCTTCAAAGCTTTCTTCCTGTAGTCTGGATAAGCAGCCGATGCTATAAGTCTGTCAAGGTTTCAACGCAGTTAGGCTTAGAGTCCCTAGCCCGTTCCTGTGGCCCATCCATACCAGGACAGTAGTTGCGTCCACGCTACGAGTACGGCACTTGCGTGTCCAAACTGCGATATCAGTTTTGTGCACGTGTATAGTTTACCACAGTATACTATGGAAAACTATATTATGCTATAGTATACTATAGTATACTATAGTACGCTATAGATTACTATGTTTAGTCCAATGGGTCTCTGCGCCACTTCAAGTCGCATTTCCCTGAGCCTCGCCTTGCGCCCGAGGTCCTCGTCTTCGAACACTGCGAGAGAGAGGCAGTGAACAGACAACGGACTTACAGGTGCTACAGTAGTGTCCATTTTCTTCCCAATTATATGTTTCTTGTATTCCCTTTTTATACTCCTCTTGTCTTACATTGTACTCATCTTAATATGGAGCAGAGAACGGTAAACTATGGCAGTGGGCCAGCCGCGGGGTGTTGCAATTTGGAGTCGGATTTTCGGCTGTGCAGTGAATGCTCTGACTGCGGAGTCCATCTGTTGTAGTATACTATCTAGATCTATGTAGTAGACGGTATAAAACACTAGGTGGGCTACTGTATTGGGTACTCAAATACAGTAGGCTATATTGTATACTATATAGTATATTGTAGCGAGTCCATCTGCTATAGTATGCTATATAGTATACTGTACAGTATATACAGTCTACTATATGTTACGTATCCGCGTTCCCACCTGGAGGGCCCGTCCCTTGCAATCAAGCCGGACACTTTGAGTGGTGTTAAGGTGGCTGCGCAGCCCTGGGGTGTAAAGGCTGTATAGCCTTCAGTTTACTATAAAGTATAGGACATTGTATGGTATACTATACAGTATGCTATACTATACGATTTCGTATAGTAGATAGTTGGTCTTGTTTTTTCCATGTATACTATCATTGCAACTGTTGTTCTTTTTTGTGCAGGCCAGGGTCCGAATTGCTTCACCAGGCGGCACTTGCGAAACCGGATGGGCCAGGAGGGGTAGCTGGATGTGTAGGGCAGGTCGTGTTCCAAGTTCCAATCATCATCGCCGGTCGTTGAGTCGTTTCTTGCTTGGGCACTTGGACAGTTGTAGGTGCTAGCACACTCCATGGACATCAGAAGAGCCTGGGAGCATGGGAGTATTCCCTCGGCAGAGATGGAAGACTCAACGGGGCGCGAGGTAGTTGGCGCGTGAGCAGAGGAGCTTTCTGCTGACGATTCAGCAAGGGGGGTGGGTGGAGGGGGCGAAGTAGACAGCCTTTTGTAGGCAGAATCTATTCTGCAAGTTGAATTGCAAGTCCCAAATCTCAGAAAGTGAGTATAAAGTCCATTCCCTCACTTTTTAACCCACTCCGTTCCACAGCTCAAAACCTTCTCCTTCCGTGTGCAATTGGTGCCCATCCCGCTTGCAAAGTGAATCTCGAGCACCAAACTCCAACATCAACAAAGCAACCCTTCTAATCTCCAAATCAGAAATCCAACACCCAGGACCCAGCCGTAGAGCCACTGTGGTTTCTACAGGACCAAGTACCCTCATAATCTTCCGTCTGAAAACAGGGGAGTCTTCAACCCAAGGTGCGCCAATAGGATTTAGAGTTTGGATTCAGCTAAGAGGCTGGGGCGTCATTCTCAGGCCACTGTGGGCAGGTGTCGTGAATGACCTCAACAGTTCGCGACTTCCTAGGCGAAAAAGGTTGTGTTTGCTGCGGATGCGCCGCGTGTCTCAGCCAAGATAGGCAATGCAAGGTGGATCAGGTTGCAATCCACTGGGTGTTGGTTCGCCAGGCAACGGTGTTTTGGCAATTTCTGTCTGGCCCTTGGAGTCATGGCTATCAGTGCAAGCAGCAGGAGCAATTCGACAGTAGGACATCCTCGGCATAAGAACCTGCAAGCACTGTGCAGACGCCGTCACTTTTCATGATGGGAGTTGCTCACACATCTGCATCGGCTCGCAGCGACTGAGCTTGGATCGTCCTGATTTGCATGTCATGTGCACAAATAGATGCATGCAAGTTGCCAAGCTGCGTCTTAGACCTTTGGGCATAAAGCTTCACCCTGGACCATCACTGCTCGTTGGCAATTGTACACGTTGCGTCCCACTACAAGCATGTCAGGAGACCCCTGTGCTCTTGCAGCACGGCGTGCGCAGGTCGTTTTCCAGCGTGCTTCTGAGGCTCGGCTCATGCGAGAGCGACGGGGGTCAGATGAGTTTGTGTGGACATTGCCAAGCACAGGTCTTCACTGAGCAGCTGCTTCCATGTTTGTGACCTGGGCTGCATGTTCTGCTCTACCTAGCTCTACCTGACCTACACCTTGACAGCCCTGGCCCCTGAGAACGTGGCTGGACTGCTGCGACACCTTGCGTCTACACCCGGTGGGACAATGCGCGGGCAGCTCAATTCCTCATGCAGAGAAATACATTTAATACATACACGTAGTGTTGGCGCCTGAGAAGAAGGATGTTCTTTGGTTTCGGGCTAGGGCCACAAGTCAGAATCGAGTCGAACATAAGTGCAAGGGCGTAGCCCCAGTGGCAACAGCCCGGAAATCAGTGTTGCCAGGCCTGCCTAGTTATACCTTACCCCTAAATCCTCGACCATGAAAGCCGATTTAAAGCCAGCCATGAACCTCTTGTGCATTTGGTCATTCAGGCCGTGGCAGCTCCCAGCAGGTTGCCTGGCTGGGAACGGCTTCACGTATTTCATTCGCAGGGTTGTTGCGAGGTCTGTTCATGTTCCTGAACCCGCGGGTGCTGCAAAGACGGCAGAAACCATGGGTTTAAGCATGGACGCGGCCCCCGGTGATCCCAGCGGAAAGCCGCTTGCTTGGAACATCTTGGAACGGTGCGTGCCCGATGCTGCTGGAGTGTGAGCAACCCATCCGGCATGCAAGGCCGGAGGCCGAGAACATGCTTTCAGATGTGCAGGCTGCAGTGGCGCGCCTTGGACGGCAGGTCTAGGGGTCTAGGGTAGGTCACAGCAGACTGCGAACTTTGGGACATGTCCTCCTTCATGGTTCAGCTCAAGCGGCGCAGCGTCGACAGCACTGCTACTACGCGCTTGCCCTGCCCTTCGAGGCATGTCTTGGCTTCGGACGGCTCTGCTAGAAAGGTTGCCAACTCACGTGACACTCAGGACTCTGCTTCAGAATCAGGCATGGACCAGGCCTTGTTTGTCAATGTTGGTCAGGGCGTTTGTCAGCTTGCGTTGCGAAGCCTATGCTAACGCCATTGTCAACCTCAGGAGTTGCAGTCCGCAAATGCTGACCTGCTGCTTTGCTGCAAAAGAACTCGTTGCATTCAGAGGCACGATGTTGCAGCGTGTGTAGGTTCTTAGATTCGGCGAAGACCGCTGAATCTTCTGATGCTATCACTGGACTCGAGTCATTTCTCCTGGAGATCGAGCAGCGCATGCAGCAGAACTTGAAGGAGATGCAAGAATTGCAAAACCTCCGGCAAGAAGCCGAGCAGCTCCTGCGTCGCCGACATGCTGACAGCGGATTGGCTACAATACCCTGCGTGGCAGAAGCTTCCAGGTTGGGCGAGATGCTCGTTTCCAAAGCTGAGATGCTTGTAGCGTTATGTGAGCATTATTCTTTTCCTGGCTTTCAACACGATTCGCGCTTTAGGCATAGGTCAACGAAGTAGAGCCCGGTCCTGCGATGCCAAAGAATGCCTGAACTCCTGTTTTGAAGATGCATCTGGAGCTGCAGCCCAGCTCTGCAAGTGACTTGCTCATGATCTGCTCAGGACTGGCCTACAGACGGTGAGTTCGGAAGCACTTGGGTTGACTCCTGGCTGATGAGATGATGAGATGGCCACAATCGAGGGGCTTAAGAGGGGCTCATTCCACACACCGGGAAGACGGCCCACTTTTCATTGACAAGATTAGTGGCGGATGCTTTGAGCGCTACGCAGTTTTGTCATGCCTGCACCCGTCTCCTTCTTGTTCTAATGACTTCGCATTTTTCTGCGCCGACGGTGGAGGAGGAAGAAGAAGATGATGGTTACCGTCCTCATGATCATTGTCAATCACGAGCGGTGATTGTCATGCTAATTTTAACGCTACGCGACCCGCCTCGGCCCGGCCCAGCGCATCCGCGTGAGCATGGTGATTCCGCAGCGCAAGGGTTGGGTTTAGGGTTTAGGGTTTAGGGTTCCGGGTTTATGGTTTATGGTTTGGGGTTTAGGGTTGAGGGTTAGTTTAGGGTTGAGGGCTTAGGGCCCAAGGTTCACGGTTTGGGGTTTAGGTTTTTTTGGGGTTTCGGGTTCAAGGTTCAAGGTTGGTGGTTGAGACGGTTCGGCTTGGGAGGGGGAGGGTCTTACGCCTCAACCCTGAACCCACGGCCGAAAGCAGTGTTATTTCCTTGAAGCCCAGGACCCGATGCCCTCGTGCTGGACTCGTGCTGAAACACTCCAAAGACCAAACCGTAAGACGCCCGCGCGGGCAAACCATAGGGTTCTGCGACGTCCGGAACGCAGGGAAACCCGCAGAGGGTCGTCGTTTATGAAAAAAAGAAAAAACAATGTTGAAAGGCCGGCAAAGGCCAGAAACGCCGCGCCTGCGCATGTTTTATGTACCTTCCAAAAACAAGCGCGGGCAAACCATAGGGTTGCACCGTACTACTACTACTACTACTACTACTACTACTACTACTACTACTACTACTACTACTACTACTACTACTACTACTACTACTACTACCACTACTACTACTACTACTACTACTACTGCTACTACTACTACTACTACTACTACTACTACTGCTACTACTGCTACTACTACTACTGCTGCTACTACTACTACTACTACTACTACTACTACTACTACTACTACTTCTACTACCGCCGCTGCTACTACTGTTACTGTTACTGCTACTTGCTGCTGCTGCTACTTCTACAGCTACTACAACAACTACAACTACGGCAACAACAGCTGCTACTACTACTACTACTACTACTACTACTACTACTACTACTACTACTACTACTACTACTACTACTCCTGCTGCTACTACTACTACTACTACTACTACTACTACTACTACTACTACTACTACTACTACTACTACTACTACTACTACTACTACTACTACTAGTAACAGTGCGAGGATCTGATTTATAAAGCCTCCGTGATTTAAGAACTTTTTTGGCTCGAGCCCTCCGGCAAGACTGCTACTTGCCAATTTCGGGAGCCAAAATGCGCAAAATAAACACTTGGATTTAAAGAACAAAAACTGCGGCCAAAAAATGCTGAAGGCTGCAGGACATAATTGCGCAAAGATTCTGAATTGCTGAATAAGTGATACGACGTGCTCTCGGATTTTTTGGGTTACGAGGCGAAAACTGCGGTTCCTTACTTCTTCGCTTGCAGGGAGAGAGGGAGGGAGGGAGAGAGAGGGAGAGGAGGGAGAGAGGGAGATACAGAGAGAGCGAGGGAGAGAGGGAGAGAGGAGAGAGAGGGAAGGGGGAGAGAGGGACAGAGGGTGAGAGGGAGATTGGAGGGAGAGAGGGAGAGAGGGAGAGAGGGAGAGAGAGAGGGGGGAGAGGGAGAGACGGAGAGAGGGAGAGAGGGAGAGAGGGGAGAGGGAGAGAGGGAGAGGAGGGGAGGGAGGGAGGGAGGGAGAGAGAGAAAAAAAAAAGAAGAGAGAGAGAGAGAGAGAGAGAGAGAGAGAGAGAGAGAGAGAGAGAGAGAGAGAGAGAGAGAGAGAGAGAGAGAGAGAGAGCGGGAGAGAGAGAGAGAGAGAGAGAGAGAGAGAGAGAGAGAGAGAGAGAGAGAGAGAGAGGGAGGCAGGGAGGGAGGGAGGAGGGAGAGGGGGAGAGAGGGATCGTTACTTCTCTTGTGCGATTCAGCCGCGTTTTGGAAGACGGCGCGCTGCGTTCCAATTCTTGAGCGGCAAACCTACCATGCTTTAAATGAGGCGGCCAATATGGGCCGATCGGTGGGCCGTGCGGCTCATCGGAGGTTTGTCAGAATCTGCAGCCAGCTCAGCTACTTGGGGTCGGGTTATCTCATGTCGGCTGGGTATGACTGGGTGCTTATACATCGATCAGCGTGCGTGGAAAGCAAGAGCGGAGCAGAGCTCGCAAGCGAATCCACGCGCAGAGTGGGCGATTGCGAATCCCAACAACATCCAGGTCTTGGAAGCATCATCCTTGGCTTTCCATGCAGCTAGAAGAGGAGTATAGAGGAGTCATGTTTGGACAGCATCTGCTGGGCGATCTTCAAGCTCCAGGCTTAAGGCTCCTGCGTTCGACCTGCCTGAGCCTCCGAAGATTTGTTCCTGTGCGAGGTGATCGACCTGTCAGGCCAATCGCGACCACCCAACTGATGCGAGGTGTAGAGCCTTTTGAGCCACATCTCCCAGATCAGCGGTGTCCACATCGAGACTGCAAAATATTGAGCACAAGATCTCATGGTTGCTTTGATTTTGCGATGTTGTTACTTCCGCTGGCCACAGCTCGCTGTACCCAAATGGTTCGGCAGAGGACTGAGGACAGCTGTGTAAGGCATAGACGGAGTCGTCGTCCCATGTGGAGGACGTGCGTCTGCCACATTTGCCGTAGTTGAACAGCCCGTGCAAGCTCTACCAGTTCCGCGTCGCGCGAATACGCCAACAGAGATGAAGGCTTCGAATGGTGAGTATTCGCATGTTGGGTCTATAGGCCTTGCACTTCTTCATCGCCTGGGCAGCAGGCTTCAGGGATATGATGTGTGACTTTGATCTGAGAAGCGGAGAAGACATGAGCACGATTCGGCAGTGTGCGGGACTGAGAGCTTGCGTCGGCAGATCCCGTAGACGGTACCATGTTGACAGTCATGCTCGGCATCGATGAAAGGGGGCTTCTACGTGGCGCAAGTCGGCCCTATGCTTGTGAGTGCCAAGGCTATTACAGCCGACCCATCTCTCCGGGTTTTTTTAATAATATCATTCGATGTCTCTATGAATTCTGGGATTTCCAATATTGTGTTTTTTTTTTTTTTTTATACCTTTTTTTATGATCTCACAAAGTTGAGTGTTCGAAACTGTTTGAGAAGCTTGTTTGTGGCTTGGCAATATACATATATATATATACAGATCTACATACATTTTTGGATGTGTGATTACGCGGAATTTCATGTTATATGCTGTGAAAGATCATATTCTACGTCTGTAATACAATACATACAAAGATACATCTTGTAAAATTTTGGTTGTGAGGCAATTTAGTCGCCTTGTATTACATAATATGTATGTATACTACAATACAGAAACTATCATAAACAACTGAATACCAATACATGTATACGTGTATCTATTACTTGTTGCTATCTGTGTATACATATTTTGAATAACGTATACTTGTATATGTATATATGTATATGTGTATATATATATATATGCATATATATATATATATATATATATATATATATATTTGTATAAATTTGTGCATACAGATGTATGATAATGCATATATATATATATATACATGCAGTGGAATGAATCGTTTTTGGTACTGAGTGTAATAACTAGTGGGGCTCTGGGAGATGGGGCGGACATTACAGTTGCATTTGTGCTGAACGGCGGCGCATCAGACATTGCTGCCGTGGAATGAATTTTGGTGCTCAGTGTAGTGGGGGGTTATGGGGCCAGACAGAGTGTAGCGCGGGGGGCTTGTTTTCGTGCTGAGAGTGATGCGGATGGCCTTGGAGGAGGGGGGTGCGCCAACTCCTGTGGTGGACTTGATTGTTTTTGGTGCTGAGTGTAGTGCGGGGGGCCTTGGGGAGGGGGTGTCTCAGACATTGCAATCGAATGAATTGTTTTTGGCGCTCAGCGTCGTGCGGGGGCCGAGGGGTGCGTGTCAGACATTGCAGTGGAATGACTCCTTTTTGGTGCTGCGTGAAGTAAAACTGCGGGGGGGACCTGGGAGATGTGGCGGACATTGCCGTTGCATTTTGTGCTGAATGTGGTGCGGGGGGCTTTTGGGGGGGGGGGGGGGGGGGGGGCGTCAGACATTGCAACGGAATGAATTGTTTCTGGTGCTGAGAAACGTGCGGGGGCGGGGAGGGGCTGCGCCAAACATTGCTGTAACATGACTTGATTCTGTTGCTCAGTGCAGTGGGGGGTTATTGTGGGGCCAGACATTGCGGTGGAATGAATTGTGTTTTTGGTGCTGAGTGCAGCGCGGGGGGCCTGTTTTCGTGCTGAGTGTGGTGCGGATGGCCTTGGAGGAGGGGGGTGCGCCAACTCCTGTGGTGGACTTGATTGTTTTTGGTGCTGAGTGTAGTGCGGGGGGCCTTGGGGGAGGGGGTGGTGTGGTGGGGTGTGGGGGGGGGGCCTTGGGGTTTTGAACAAAAACACATACGACCTACGACCTAGCCTCAAGCATGCAATACTGCCCAACGTTTCCTCAAGCGCGATGACACGGGCGAACTTGCAACCAGCATTTCACGACTCTTTGTGGTGTTGTCTTGGAGTCGCAGTCATGTTAGGATCTTATGCATTCCTCGCTCGTCCTTGGAGACCCTGAAGAATTCCCAGTTATCATTTGGCAGTTCTGGTTTCCCCCTTATGGTTTTTTTGATCGAGTAAACATCATGTTAAGCAAAGGCCTTTACCCCTTTCGGACACGCCGCCATGCATTTTTTTGGCCGCCGCAAGATGCACAGAATTTTTCCGGTTTCACACAGCGGGACACCCCGCCAGGCATTTTCCGGCCACGCCCTGGTGCCGTACGGATGGAAACCTTGACCTTAGGATGCACACTCGGGTCTTAAGCCTGCCAATGCATTTTCCAGCCCTCCGGATTCGGCTTTTCCCGAAACCCGACTGACGTCTTCTGAGTCGCCCGATAAGGCCACAAAAGGGCCGACAAGACCTGCTAAGCCTCAGGACTTCTGTAAGCCGCTGTAAGCCCATCTCCTTGTCTGCCCTGCTCTGTAAGGCAAGCGTGGCGAGGAGGTCGCAGCGGAGAAGCCGCCAGACGCGGGCTCCGTGGCGGCCAAACGTCCGGAGACCCGGAAGGCCAGCCCAGCTGCTTTAAGGCGTGTTCTCTGACCCTTTCTCCTCCCTAAAGCCCCAAGAGATCGGAGGGAGCAAGAGTGGGGGGAGCTTTGACGGGTTTAGGGAGCTTCCTGGAGCCCTTCGAGTTTCACCACTTTTGGTGCCCTTACCCCCCAAAATGCCCCAAAATATGTCCCAAAATAAGGCCCCCCAAATGCCCCCCCAAATGTCCCCCCCCCTTCCGCCCTTCCTCAGCGGCAGCTCGATGGCATCAAGCCTTGCTCACCGGCTTGATGCAAACATATATCTATACATACATATATATATATATATGTATATATACATATATATATATATATGTATGTATAGTATATATATATATATGTGTATATAATATATATATATATATATATATATATATATATATATAGATATAGATATATACATATACCCATATATACATATAAACATATACATTATATATACATATACATATATATATATATATGTGTGTATATATATATAATACATATATATATATGTATATGTATATATATTATATATATATATTCGTATATTATGTTATATATATTATTTATATTATCTTATATTATCTTATATTATCTTATATTATCTTATATTATCTTATATTATCTTATATTATATTATATTATATTATATATTATATTATATTATATTATATTATATTATATTATATTATATTGTATTATATTATTGTATATATATATATATGTGTGTATATGTATGTATGTTCTGGCTTTTGATGTCCGAGACGTGGTCCTACATTTTTCTGAGTGCCTGTTGGAGGGGTGGTATGTCGAAAGAACCAACACGCCGGACCAGTGATGCCAGTGTTGATGTTCCATCTCTCAATGCGACCAGCCGAATCCGAACCAGCTGAAATGCATTGAGAATGTGATGCGCCCTTCTTCAAGCGCACCAACTGCCGGTCTGGTGACAGTCTCTTTGTCAATTGTTGAGGCATTAGCCGTTGGCACGTGTTGGGCTTCCGGGCATCCCGAAAGAACACGTGCCCAGACCTACCACCCTAACCCTAAACTCTAAACCCTAAACCCTATACCCCAACCCTCGAATTTCCGAACTTTGCAGCTGCGGGCGGTCTTCCGTTTCGTGCCTGGCTGAAAGCCCACTGAGGTTCAAGAATATAGATATACATGTGAACATAAACATTACTACATGAATGAACAAATAAAATGTTAATGCATACCTACATACATACATACGTACATACATACATAAAAAGCATACATATATATATATATAGACACACCCCCCCCCCCCATGACCTACCCAGATCTGTTTCCCTCGTAAATACCGTTTCAAACCCGCTCGTGCCCTATGCCGTTTTTTGCTACTCTCAGTGGCTGTCTCTCGACAAAACAGACCCCACACGGACCACAGGACTGGACGCCGAGATGGGCGAGACCAAAAAGCCAAAAAACCAACTTTTTAAGAGAATGGGGAGGGGATGTTGAAAAAATGTGTTTTTTGGTTTTGCCTCGTAAAAAGATTGTTTTTCATAGGAAAACCAACTGTTCCCTCGTAAAAAGATGGTTTTGGCCTGGTCTGCCTCAGGAAAACCACAAATTGGGGCCTTCCTGCACCACAGCTCTCGGCCTTAATGTTGCACTGGCTTGAATACAGGGGCCCCGAGCTGTTACATGGGGGGGGCCTTCTGCCAGAGGCGCTGCCGGCTCTAAAGCCCAAGAAATGGCCACTAGCGTCGGAGGCCCTTGCTGAACCTTCGGATTTTGGAAGTTTGGGGTTGGGGTTTTGGGGCTCGGCCCGCTCATTGTTTTTTCCTTTCCTGGTTTTCGAGGCTCGGATTTCGAGCCCCACCCCTGGCTGTTTGCAACTGCGAGGTTTGGGCCCTTGCCAAGCTGCACCACCTCGGCGCCGCACTGATGGCTCGAGTTGGGGCCTCTTTGAGCAACTTCTTTTGGGAGCTATGTGGGCTAAGGGACCCAGTTCCACGTGAAGTGGAGGTGGATGTTGCTTCGTATCAGCCCGAAAACGCAAAGCCCACTCCGAACCTGCCTCGGCCCTAAACCTTCCAGTGATAAGGTCTCAGAGGAGGCAATCGCGCATGTCCGCCGGGTCCCTGGCCGGAGAGAGGTGTGGTGCAGTGTTCCAGGCTTTGGTGGTTCCTCGTAATTCGGCCGCAAATTGGCAATGCACAAGACAAAGCTCCGGAGCATGGCACCGAGCCTGAAGTTTACACTCGAGGCCCCTACAATGCAGGTGCAGAAGCCAATGGCACTGCTCACCCCTGCCGGTGGCAACCAGAAGCCCCGTACAGCCTGAACTGGTACAGCCGTAGCCCCAAAAAAACGCTGAACCTCTGTGCGGCTTGGCTTGGGCCCCAACCTCGCACCCAGATCTGCCGTGCCCTGGGCCGGACCTTGGGCACAAGCCGATCCCGAGCCCTCGGACCCTGAAGCGGTGGTGACCCCCAGTCTAACATCGAGCAAATGGCAAAGGCGTGAAGGCTGCATCCCGACAGACGCGAGGCTTGTGACCCTTTCCTGCGAGCGTGGGGACTCTATGGTTCAGAGATTTAGGAACTTCTAGTGGCCTTGGGTCGTAGGTTTAGGCTTCAGGACTCTGGAACTTTTGGGCTTAGGGATTCAGGTTTCTCGGTGTACAGGGAGACGTGGCGTTCCTGCGTCCCACGTTGGCAGGGCTCCAAGGGTGTATGGGGGGAGTCGGAGTCTAATGAGGCTGGCCATGGCTTCGCGCTGAGGGGGTTTTAAGCTCTTTGGAATGGTTTTAGGGTTTTTGCGGATTGGGATGGATTGGGGCTTGAGCCGTTTCGTGGTTGGGGTTTGACGGCTTCGCAATTCAAGGATGTCCTCGCAACGTTGCGGGCGTGGAGCCAGCTGGAGAGTGCGACCCGCTGTCCTCGGCTCCAGCTGTTTGCTCAGCCACGAGCCATGCAAAATCAAAGGAAGTTCAGAGCATCGTAGGGCTGTAGGTTTCACCCATTTATTGTCCTGAGGGTTCAGGGTTTACGGTCTTCCTGAAACCGAAACCCATATACTCTAAACCCTAAACCCATTTCGCCATTTCAGCGTTTAGGCGGGGTTTAGGGGATTCTTCTACATGGTTTCAATACTGTAGGGGGCTTGTACACCATGGACGACTGGCCGCGCGGGCGGCATCCATTGGTTACCAGGGTCTGCTGGCTGCATGTATGTTGATGGTCGTCTAAGTCGCGAAATTGCTTGAAACCCAATCCTTGCTTTAACCCGCTCAGCGCTTCAGTGTACGCTCGCTCAGCGCTTCAGTATACAGGATCCAGCCAGGCTTTGTGAATGTCGAAGTCACCGTTGTTATCTTAAAGTGTGTCGACGTGATTGCACCTGTCGAATGTCCATGACCTGGCCATGAAATGATGCATACTACCAGTGCAGACAGGCAGCGGAGTGTCTGTCACAGGTTTTTGTGATAACCTTCATTGTCCACGGCACTTCTTCTCCAGAACATCCATACCAAAGTGAACAATGCTTGGTAGTGTGTGCTGTGGTATGAAAGGCATTCAAAAGCACACTTCGCACAGGATCTTGAGCTTTTGCTTTCGCTCAAGCTGTCCCCGCAAGTATTGTATGCGGGCATCAGTGTACAATTGGAGAAGACGCAACAGCCGTAGAACCGTAGAACTCAACCCGCCACCGCGTCCAATGAGCTATCTAGTCGCGTTGTTTTCTTTTGTTCTCGGCGGCCTAAAGGTATTGGTTAGATAGTGCGAAGGACCATCAACCACTCACAGTCACACAGTCGTAATATTGCAGCGGCCGGGATACACTCCTTCATCTGGCTCGTGGTAACTATTCGAAATTCTTTATTTATTAATATTGAGTTAATGACATGATATTATTATTGTTTTGATACACAAATACCAAATAGTGATATTATACATTGTGAAATTGCAATAATGGTCGATGATTATATGAATCTGTTCAAATATTTGGTAATCGAATAACATATTAGTTACAGGTGGTTTTCTGAGCACTCCTGGAGCAGGCCTATGACACGCACGTCCCCAAATTTCCATTTCGAAACACGAAAAATCTAAAACGAGAGACGGCCCGAGTCAAAAACACGGCCAGCATCACCGAGTCACTTTGAAGCCAGCTCATGTCCGCAGGCCCTGCAGGAAGAGGCCAAGCCTTGGATGAAAGAGGAAGCCTGGCGGAGGGGTTAGGGTTTAGTCAGGGTTTGGGCAGTTGATTCTCTTTGCCCGCCGTGCATTGAGCATCTGTGGTGTAAGCTCTACAGGTTTGTTTCAGGGTAGAGTGTCGTGGGCTGAGAAGCCTTTCGTTTCTCCTCCCAAGACATGGCCGCAAGCCGCAAGCCCCAAAAGCCCCCCCAAAGCGACCTTGCCCGGCCATCACTGCCATTTTGTTTCGCGCTCTCTCTCCCTCTCTCCCTCTCTCTCTCTCTCTCTCTTTCTCACGGCTGTTCTTAAGTCAGAGATGTGAACTTGTGCACTTACATCTTTATGCGAAGCAGCTGCGCAAGCTGCATGGAGACCTCCGCCATGCACAACACAACCCGAAGCCACTCCCATGAAATTCAAATCTCTAGTCGCAAGGTAATGTTGAACTTCATGTTTGCGTCCCTTCAGGAAGGAATGGAAATGCCTGCAGTTGTGCCAGCCCCTAGCCTTCGCAAGATCTGTGGGTTTTCGCCTGGTTTGGGGAACAGGATGAGGCTCAGGATGTACTTGGTTGGTCTAGCAATCCCATCAGGAGTAAAGGGGTCCGGAGTCGAGTTGTTAGCTTGAAGTCAAAGCCTAAACTTTGAACCCCCCATCGCAAGATGTAAACGCCCCAGAGCCCAGTTTTAGGCAGCCGCTTGCAGTCCTTGACCTGCCAGAAACTCCCCAAGCTTTGAAACAACATTGACTTGGCTTGGGGCGGTCCATTTGAGGGTCAGGGTGATTGGACGCAGCAGTTTCCAAGCTTTGTCTCGCTTTTAAAAGGCGTGCTTGGGCTTGTTCGGATGTGAGGGCGAAGGGCCATCCCAAGCAATTCACCCCAAAAATCTCAAGCCAAAACAACCTCTCTCTTCCACAAGCAAGAAACACACAACTCCGCGACCCTCTGGTCCTTCAAAACTATAGGCTGCCGCATCGCGGACGCGCAGTCCGCTCGTCCCCGGGCCCAATTATGCTTGCAATGTGCTCAATGATTGGAAGTTTTGGAGAGACCGAGAAACCCCAACACGAGCCGGAAGCCGGAAGCCGTACATGTGCACAATCCCCAAAAGCCCCGGAGGCAGCCCCTGTCCCGACCAGTCATAACTATGCCATTTTGCACGCTCTCCCAGGCGAATGTGTATGTCAGATCTGTGAATTTACGATGGGGTGTAATTATTTCTCCTTCGTAGTTAAGAGCCCGGAGCATCTGTTCCTGAAAGGGTCTTCGGCTCTCTGACACAACGCCTCAATTTAGCCTCTTACAAACCGTGCAAAGCCTACTGTAACACACACAACAGGAAGAAGAACGCAAACAACCATGCGCATGTATGTAGCACCATGACCTCGCTTGTACAAGCCTCTCACTAACTGTATGCAAGCGTGCATCGCAGCCTGTTCAGGAAACCCAATTTTCCAATACCCTACCACACAGAGCCCCCGCCCGGCCTTCGGGGTTTTAGGTCGCTTACCTCAGCCACAGATCTCAGATGGAGTGAGCTCGCTCCCCAAGTTTTCCCGAGTCATGCGAATCCCAGACCGCGAAGCCCATGACATCGAACCAGAGAGAAACCCATTGAACACATCGTACAAGCCCTATACAGCATCGTATGAAATCCTTGCTGCGGACTCAACAAGCAGCTACACCTACATACCCTTAAAATGCCACTCAAAACCGTCTAGTATCCAAAAAAAAGAAAGGCCAACCCTACAAGACCCTTGTAAACCCTAGACAAGGGTGCGACAATATTGATCTTTCCTGTGAAAGGTGGGCAACATGCTCACGACGCCCATTTGGCTGCGCTGGGTTTCGCATGCCGAGTTTCTGTCACAGTCTGAAAGAGGACTAGGCTAGGGGACCTGATGTGACCATTGCCGTACTCGTATGTTTAGTAGTCGTGACCTGGTCGTGGCGAATTTAGGAAGTGCACGTGAAGCATGTGATGAAGGAAAGTGCCCGTTGATTTTGCTGCTTGCTTCTGCACCGATCCCCCACTGCCCACCAAAGGCGCAGCTTGCCGGTGGGGCTCCTCGACGAGGCCAAGTCCTTGCCTTTATTGAGCGCAGCAAGCGAGCGGTAACACCCCAGTGGCAGTGCAGCAGCAGGAGGAAAAACGGCAGTTGCAAAAGCACCGGCAGCTGCAGTAGCAGAGGCAGTAGCAGAGGCAGTAGCAGAGGCAGTAGCAGAGGCAGTAGCAGCAGAGAGAAGCAAACAATGAGAGCGTGCACTCAATGGAGAGACTTCACCGACCGCACTGGATTAAGCGAGGGAGCGAGAGATAGCGAGAGTCTGAGAGGGAGGCACTTCAAATTCTTGCCTGCATGGCCTGGCAGTGGACAATCACACCCTTTAGTGGAGTATGTTGGCATAGAAGTCAGTGCACGCACAAGCAAGCCTGCCTACGTGCGCATGCGTGTGTGCATGCGTGCATGCGTGCGTGAGGCAGCGAGCGGAGGTGAGGCATTGAGTCCTGAGTGTGTGTTGAAATCCGGAAACTGAGGCGAGGATCCTGCCCAGCCTGCTCACCAGGCTCTCAAGCATCAAGGACATGTAGTCTGCACCGCCGTAAAGAAGCATGTCTTTGGAGCGAAAGCTCTTTCGCCGAGTGGCAAGAAGTAGTGAAGATGTCGGGGGGGGGGGGGGGGGGGGGGGTGGGGGAAGGGGGTGTTGTCTGCTGATACCTGGGGACCTCCTTAACCAGGAAAGGCCACTAGCACTCCGGTTGCTGTTACCGGGATTACTCGCGCACTAGCCTTCAGCAGAGTTCACTTCACAAGCTGCCTCAATGCTCATTTCACAGAGACGGGCAGCAGACGTCAATCCGCCCCCACAGTTATCAGAATCGGTATTGTGTTTGCGCGGCTTAATGGCGTGGAACCCGGCGAGAATCAGAGTCGAAGGTTTGAAGACCACAGTGCCACCATAGGAGCCCGAGTTTTCCGGAGCCAAACCTCACATGGCTCCATCGTTGCCAAAACCGAGACCCGGAGTCGCTTGGCCACAAGCTTAAAGATGCAGCAGCTGTCAGCAGTTGTCATACTTGCGACCGTCCGAAGTTTTTTTTCAACGGATTGGGAGGGAATCGGCGGCAATCAGCAGTCTTTGCGCTGGCGTGTATTCTGACGGATTCCAACGTCATTGGATCACCTTCTCGAATGCCTGTTCATGCCTTTTGGATCGTGTGGGTCACCCTGCCAATCACGAGGCTGGCATTGACAACATTGGCGCGGCCGCGGGATTTGCGCAGGAACATCTGCAATTCAGAGCACAGTCTTAATCCCTTCCAAACGGGGGGGGGGGGGGGCCACCCCCTCCGCCTGAAAGTCACTCGGAAAGTGTTGTAGTATGATAGGGGGTCTTTTTGTCTCTACTGTCACTGTTGAGGGATCTTGCTCTTGCTCCTGCTCTGTCTCTTGCTCCTGCGCTGGCTTTTGCTCTTGCTCTTGCTCCTGCTTGTGGTCATACCCTTGCTTTTGCTCTTGCTTTTGCTCTTGCTCTTACTCCTCCCCCTAATACAATTAGGTTTTAAAGGGCAGGGATGATTTCGTCAGGATTGGGCCCAATGTGTTTATCATGATTAGGGGGCCTGTAATAAATGGGGGAAGCGATTAGTTGTCGGCACCCGACGGAATCGTTCTGTCTCACAACGAAATCTGGAAGTTGTGCTTCGGAATGTGGTGCTCGTGTGGCCGTAAGCTGAGCTGCACGAAGCAGAAGCTTTCGCAAATGAATTCCGTGTGGGTTTTGGAAGCATGCTCTCGTGCCCGAGCCCGAAGGCCTCCGAAGCCGTGAGTGCGAAGCGTGTGAAGCCATCAGAAACAGATGCGGCACACATGACAGTGTCACCCACGTGGCCAAGAAGACTGCTCTAAGACATAAGTGCTTCATGTTGTGCCGCCTACCCCGAGTTTGCTTGGCTTCAGCCGGGTTAGTGTTGTACGTTGTCGAGGGGGCTTTGCGGAAACACTGAGGATATCTCGTGAAAGGGTCCATTCTTGTGAAAATCTGGATTGGAAGCCATGTGATAGAACTTGTAACCCTTCCGAGAAAGAGCTCAAGCATCTGTCAGACAGTACACTCAGTACACACTTCTGAAGTTGTCAAACCAAATGAGGTATAATGGCACCACCCTAAACGTGGTAAGACTAAAAGAGCCTAATGTGTCTCCCTGCTGCCATCAGGATGATGACCCGAAAGCCATCTACCAGCGCCGAGATGCTGTCCTGCAGACAAGGGAGAAGCGATCCTTGGAGCAATCGCCTCCCGGTGGCAGTTGCAGCAAAGCCCTTGTAGAAGCAATGAGTGCCCCGGACAGAAGCTCGATCTGCAATCTCTCGACGCAAACTGAACCCGAAGGTCTCTGCAACGAAGAATGAAGGGCGTTCACCGATCCCCTGCACCGCCATCTACAGGCTGCCGGCCCTCCGCCCTGGTCTCTCTGAGCCTCCGGCGACGGAGGCCAGTCCTTAGAGTCCTTAGATGGCTGTGTCTTTGCGTGGACTGTTTTATTTATTTGTTATATTCATTTTATCTTCTTTATATTTATTTATTTGTTGATGTATTTGTAAACATAGATATATATCCACACACACATGTGTACACATGCTTTTCATTCTCTGACTAGAATGACTAGAACCTGTATGCATCGATTGTTTTTTCAAGTACCACTGGGGTAACGGGCATTGTGCCAAGCACTCCTAGATCGGCTCCCCGCGCAGGGACTGGTTTAGGCACGGCTTTGAAGTATGGCTGGTACTCGTAGGAACCAGACGATGGGCATACAGCAAGCAATCCGAAAACGACCGAAGAAATGCAAATGCCAAGCGAGCTAGCGAACCTCGGAGCTGAGGTGGGCAGCATCAGAAAGACCACGGCAAACCGGAACGGAAACCTTCCTCTGTGTTCTACGTGTCCTGTTTATGCCTGAGGAATCAATTTCAACATTGACAGTCCTGTTTTGTTTAATCCAATCACCCAACGACACCCGTTCTGACCATGCCCCTCAGCCCCTTTTCCCTTGGCGCTTTCTTGAGGACGCCCTTGCTTGGCTGTGGGAGTGCCTCTGCTGCTGCACCGGCAGCAGCAGGCAACTTGGAAGCAGAAGGCTTGTTACCCGCTTTCGAAGATGCAACAGTAAGCTTCTTATGGGCTCATACCTCCACAAAGTTCATGTTCGTGAGCTGGGGCAGTGGGCTCGCTGTCTGGATAGCATGGTGCTGCCAAGGCCAAAAGCTTGAGCCTCTCTCAAGACGAGAGAGGCATCAAGCCGCGCTCCGGATTCTTTGTTGCTGTGTGCGTGATAAACTCAAGCAGTGCAGACTTGCGCGCAGCGCTAACACCTACCTACTAAGCCAACAGGGCATGTTGGACAATACAATCAAGGAATATAGAAAGACACTATGACTAAATATTCGACCCAAAACCTTCTCAGTCTTGTCCTCCAACCCGCGTGCAGCCACAGTACCATGGAACGAAACAAATCTCCAACGGCAATGCTTTCGAGAGTAGTGTAAAGCCCGCAAGCGCCCGTCGGCCACTTTGTCTCAGCCCAAAATCTGGAGGTCCATATTCCCTGCGCGATTGTCTGCTATTCCTAAACTCACCCAAACCCTAAGCCCTAAATAAAAAACCTAAATACACCCTAAACCTTGAACCGAAACCCCAAGTATTTACGATCTCTACATTGGGGAGCCCAAGCCCGAAAATAAAGCTATGAATCCTAGAGCTGCAATATACCGGCCTTATTCCTATCGTGGGGCGATCATACTTCATGACGACATGATTACAATTAACTCGGGCTCTGTACTGTTCAGAATTCGTAGACAACTTCAGCACTCTGAAGTTGTCTCTGAGACCCGAGAAGTGCAGCGCATACCCCCAAACCCATTTCTCAATTGTTGTGACGATGCTGCCCACCCCGAAATTCCAAAACCCTTCATGAAAATCAAACACACGGTGAAAACACTCCCGAAACCCCGGACACTAAACTCCTGAACCCCTAAACTCAAAGTCTCTGAACCCCTAAACCCTGAACCCCTAAAATCAAACTCTAAAACCCAAACCCTCAACTTGAGTCTACACCGTGAGCCTTGGACACGTAGCCGGGGACCGAAGCCTGCTGCTGAGGAATTAGGGAGGGCAGGGTTCTTACATGGATGTACATGGGTTTTCTTTAGTTTCAGGGTACTACAGGGTCTAGAGCTTAGAGGTTAGCATTTAGGGCTTCAGGATCGTACCTACAAATTACTCTCCCCATTCTCTCAAAGGGCCAGCAAGAAATTGAAGCGTAGAGTTTAGGATTTCGTTGTTTACCCATGAGTCTCAAACAAGTTCTTTTCTCAGGCTCTCAGCAGGAACATCTTCAGCAGGCACATACATGAATTGTCTTCAATGCGGGATAGTAAGAAAGGACTAGCTTGAACCCAAACCAAGCCCCGGAACCAAACCCCACTAGCGCCAAACCCTCCCAACCTTCAACCCTCATTCCTAAACCCTACATGCTAAAACCCTAAAGCGATACAAGGCAGTATTTCTGCAAAGCAATTCCAATTCTTCGAGTGCGCAGCTGTGGCTTTCAGTCCAAGGCAGGTGTGGCCGTGGCGCATGCAATGGGCGCAGACAGGTAGCTTACTTGAAGGCTCATGGGACGCCGTGCCAGTATGCAGATTGCAAGCAAGATCGTAAGTAGGGTTAACTAGGTTACATATTGTCACAAGTAGGATACCTATAAGTCCAGCCAGAAATCCATGCACCCCCAAACCCTAAGCTCTGACCAGAACTTGATTGCTGAGTCCCTTGATCCTTGAAGTAGGGCGTGTGCAAAGACCAGAGGAGCTCGGCTCGAGAGAGCTCTCTGTTATCCTGAAGTATGGGGGCTTGGAGTTTCGGGTCTGGCAAGTTAGGGCTTAGGGTTTAAGGCTTAGGATCGGGGTGTAGTGTAGGATTTGGGGATGCTTAGGCGCTGTTTCTAGCTGTCGGCCGAGACTCCTCAATCTCTCGTCTTGAGAGAGGCCAGGGTTGGCTCATGGGACTCGGTATGCAGACTGCAAGTAAGATGGTAAGTAGGCTTACATACCCCACGTAGGATACCTATAACTCTTAGCCAAAAACCCATGCGCCCCCAAACCCTAAGCTCTGACCAGAACTTGATTCCCGAGTCCCTTGATCCGTTTCTAGCGGTCGGCCGAGACTCCACCTCCGAATCTCACTCAGGGGCTTGCTGATCCTGCAAAGCGGGGCCTCCTCATCGAATCGCTGAAACTGCGGAACTGCGGAGAAACATCATCTCCAATCCTCAGAGAGTTCCGTGATCATGGGCATTCTGCTCCTTACGACCATTACTGCTACTATTATGCTTGGTGATGGCTAGTAATGCTAT